CTCATTATACAATGTGTTTTGCGTTCACTATATTTATTCTCACTATTGTAATTAGAAATACATATCATGAGAGAATATTAAATAAATTACGTTGTAAACTATCAGTGCATATAATAATCAGATATAATAATCTAATTTCGAAAATATATATTGTATTTATCTCTCATGTACAAGTACCAAGTACTCAACCTAAAGTACAAGTACAAGTATCAAGTACACTTCCTCAAGTACAAGTATAAGTACCAAGTAATCCTGTGCGAGTACAAGTACAAGTACCAAGTATTTTTCTGCAAGTACAAGTATAATACTTGTACCTGCGGTACTTGTACTTGTCCTAGCTCTGAAAGCGTGAATGAAGAATAAACAACTACTCACACCCACCCACGCCCACACTCGCACCTTCAAGATGGTATGGTATTCTGAAGACGTTTATTTTGAATTAAACAGAAATAGACCCATTAGATGATAAGCAATATCTCATACAGATATACATTGAAATCATCAGTTTTCACATTCAAACACTAATTTGTTTTGATATTCTTTTAAAAAAGTACATTTAAATTTATATTATATACTTACTGTTTTCTTTTCTCTAAAAATCTTTTTTGTTTGACATGATTAAGAATTACAAACTTGATCGTTAGTCAATAATTCTATTTCTCTACTGAACTATATTATTTAAAATGAGTTAGGTATTGCATGATTTTAATAGTAGAACAAATATAATCGAAAAAATAAAACAAAATTTTTAATTTTTAATAGTAAATTTCTGTATTCGATTAAAACCTGAATCAGCTAAATAGAAATCTCCATTTGTCTTGTCAAGATAAATTCCTTCTGGATTGTATAAAAAATCAGTTGATGTACGAGCGGCTTGCATGCCAAAATCATAATCAACGCCAATAATAATAAATCCTCTTAAATCTGTTTTATTATTAATTAATTTAATTGTTGTACCTTGAGATATATAAAGATTTCCATGACAATCATATTCAATTCCATTTGGACATGATGCTCCACCTTGCATAACAATTTTGGATTCTTTTGAATTCATTGACCAACGTTGAATTCGATTTTGATTGGCAACATATAAATTATTTGTTTTTTCATCGATATAAATACTTCTTGGATAAATGAATTGGTTTTCGTTATTTTCAACCACGATTAAATATTGATCATAATCTGGTGCTAACCATTTTACTATTCGATGATGATTGAATTCCGATACATAAATATTGAAATATTGATCTAATTTCATTCCATGTGATATTGTTTGATTTCCAACAAGAAGAATTATTGATTTCAATGGATTTACATTTAATCGAATAAGTTGTACACGATAATTTCCTTGACCATCTTGATCAAGAAAATATAAATTATTCGATTCTTGATCAATATATAAGCAACATGGAGAATTGATATTCGATTTTTCATCGATAAGTGTTTCGCCTTCATCTGAAACTCCAGGCAAATATTTTCGAATTCGATGGCTAGCTGTATCAGCAACATAAATATTTTGTTCGCGATCGAGATAAACTGATGTTGGTCCTTGTAATTTTTCTAATTCATCAATTGTTGGAGAAAAATTTCCTGCAACAGTAATACCATCTTTAGTATAATTTGGATTAAATGGCAGTTGACAATTGACTGAAATATTATGTTTTAAAGGTTTTGATATATTCGAAATAATTTCAGTTTTATTCAATGCTAAGTTATTTTGTTCCAATGGTTTTGATATATTCAAAATGCTTTCAGTTTTATTCAATGATGAATTATTCTGTTCTAAAGGTTTTGATATATTTGAAATAATATTATTATGGTCCAATGATGAATTTCGATAATTGAAATTGATTGATTTTTTTTCTTTTAATGTTATAATCACTTTCGTCGTTATTGTCATTAAAATAAAAATACATATTATACCAATAGCAAGTATCAATATAATCCGTTTAAATAAATTCCTCTCTGATTTATTATTAATGATAATAATATCATCATTACAAGGAATATCATCGATTGGATAATATGGATTTATTATACCTGAAAAACTCCGCATCGAAAATATATTAATCGAAAAATAAAATATTATCATATAAAATTATGTTTTTCTTCACGTTGTGTATTCACCCATGACAAAAACATCAAATACTTCCTTTCATTTGAATAACTCATCATTGACGATTTACAAAAACTTGTTTTTTTTCTTATTTCAAATCAATGTCGATACTTTCTCATTTACGTCGTCCGGTTCATTATGTTAGTGAAGAGGATAAATCAGATTTATTTACATTAATATGGTTAGATCAAAATTGTAAAGAAGATCATTCCGATATATTACGAACAAAGATAATATTAAAAGAAATTAATAATAATTGTTTATTTTATAATGATCTTAATATATATCTTGATCATTTAGAAAATAATTATTTCTTCGAAACAAAGGCTTTATTAATAGCATCAGGTTCATATGTTGAAATACTTTTAAAAGATTTCCATGATGATAAACTTTCACCATTAATTATTTTTTGTCATGATGATAAAAAATATGAAAAACATCTAAATTCACCTCATGTTATTGGCATTTGTACGGATCATAATTCATTAAAAGCATTAGTTGAACATTTTTTACCATCATTAAAGTTTCGTCTAAATGAAAACAGACGTTTAAATACAATTTTATCATTAAAAACTACATTCTATGATAATACAAGTACACTTTATTCATATATTTTATTTATTGAAATATTAAAACAAGCATCAAATATAAATCAAGCATCAAATATGAATCAAGCATCAAATATGGATCAAGCATCATATATGGATCAAGCAAAGGATTCAATGATAAATCAAATAAAAAATTATTATCAAAATAATTCTAAACAACTATCATATATTGAATCTTTTCGTGAAAAATATCAATCAACAAATGCAATCGAATGGTATACACTAGATTCATTTGTTTATAGATTAGTCAATCGAGCATTTCGAACGGATGATTCAGCATTGTGGTATACATTTCGATTTTATATTAGTGATTTATGTAAACAAATTGAAGAAGTTCATCGTGAACAAGATATAAAAGAACGTTTTCTTGTTTATCGTGGACAATCACAGGTACCAAAACAAGAATTTGATAATATTATTTCAAATTGTGGTGGATTAATTTCTTCTAATGGATTTCTTTCAACATCAAGATCATTTGATATTGCTAAAAGATTTATCCTTGGTGCTATAGATACTGAAAAATATCATGTCGTTATCTTTGAAATTGTTGTTGATACAAACGAATTAAAATATACAATATTTGTTGACGTTGATCAATATTTCGCTCAACGTGGTGAAGAAGAAATTCTTTTTAATATTGGTACAGTTTTTAAAATCGATAGTTATAAAAAAGAAGAAGAATTTTGGCGAATTCAAATGCATGTTACTGATGAATGTATTATGGGAATAAGACAACGAATGATATCAATTCAAAAGAAATTATCAACAATAAATATAAATCTTTTCTTTGGAAAATTACTAATTGATATGCATCAATATGATAAGGCTGAATCGTATTTTAAGATGATTTTAAAAAATTTACCCGAACTTGATCATCAGGATCGACCATTAATTTATGAATATCTTGGTGATTTAAAAATGCGCGTGAAACACTATTCTGATGCATTAAAATATTTTCAAGATTCTTATGAGTTAAAACAAAGGAAATATTCGATCGATGATCAAAATATGTTTATTACTTACAATCATCTTGGAAATTATTATAAAGCTATTGACAATTTAAAAATAGCTGAGAAATATTATAAAAAAACATTAACATGTACGAATAATCCAATTAATATTGCAATAACAAAACTAAATCTTTCAACGATTTATCTTCTCAAAAAGAAATATTCGAATGCTCGACAAATGTGTTTAGACGCACGAGAAATGTTTGAACAATTTGAACCAATACCTAATGGAGATATCCTTGTTTGTCAAGGTATTTTAGGAGATATTTATTTTAAAGAGAAACAATATGATACCGCTGAAAATTTTTATCTTGTTGCATTTGAAATGGGGAAAAAATATTTACCACTTGGTGACCCACGTTTAATTCATTGTATTTATTCACTTGCTGATATTTATCATGAACAGAAAAAACAAATTTGTCCAATTGAATTTTGTACAGAACAACTACAAATTTATCAAAAATATTTATCAAATACCAAACATATTTGTATTGCACAACTTTATATGAAAATGGGTGACTTATCAAATAATATTGAATATTATCGGAAAGCGATCGAAATTTTTAATAATAATAAACGTTTTGATTATTTATCGATGGCAAACTGTCTTGTTAAATTAGCAGAATTCAATAAAAATCATCAAAATATTATTCTTTATTGTCAAGCATTGGAAATATACCGAAAAATTTATTCATCTAAACATGCGGTATTGATCAAAACGGAAAACAAATTAAAGAAATTGAGAAAAATTAAAAGAACACGTCAATATATAGTAGAAGAAAATAGATTAGAACAAACTTCATTGATTAATGATCAAATTCATTGAAGAGTAGAAGTCGAATTATTTGTTTCAGATTCTAAACGATTTTCGTTTAAAACAATGATCAGAATTTTAACTTAAATAAACTTCCTTCTACAAAACTTATTTGAGAACATATATTGTCTTTTTTGTAATTTTTTAGACAAGGAAATTTAAGTATGGACAGTCTATTAATACCACCAACACCGTATACTCCTCTTTCTTCTTCCGATGATAATAATAATCCTGTACTTGTTTCAAGAAAAAAACGAATTCTAATTGGTTGTCTGATTGGATCAACATTAACAATTTTATTAATAATTTCAATAAAATTAGTTTTATCGATGGAATCACCAGCAAGTTATAAGACAACGACAACAACAATAACAACGATTATGCTGAATCAATCACCAATAAATTCTAGGACGACGACACCACCAACGGTTACACTGAATCAATTACCAACAAGTAAGTCAACGCTTTCTTCTAACAATAGTTTAAATCTTACATTTTAGCATCAACAAATACAGTTTCTCTTTCATTAAAATCCTGTCCCATTCGAGGTGAAAATGCAAGATGGATCAAACCAGGTATTTCATTTATTAATCCACTTGGTCGATGTCTTTCAAATGAAAATGGATTATGCCAGCCAAGAGATTTATTTATCGACGACATTCATGATACTCTCTATGTAGCTGATTCAAAAAACAATCGAATACAAAAATACTCACTGACTGAAACATATAATTCAGAAATAGGTGCAACTGGTATTACTGTTGCTACTAAAGGTCTTCTTTTTCCACAGTCTGTTTTTGTTGACATTCGCACAGAAGATATGTATATTATGGATTTCGATCAAGAACAAACATATTATCCACAAAATTCAGTCTCTTATCAAGTTCATTTATGGAAAAAAAATGATAATGTTGGAAGAATTTTGCTCAGTGAAGTAGGAGAATCTCTATTTGGAGGTGGCTTTCATTGTTTTACATTAGATAAACAAATGAATATATATGTTGGAACAAGGTTTTTTATTAAAAAATGGTTGGTATCGACAAATTATACGAAAAATATTATTGTTGCTGGACACGATGGACAGGATGCTTGGGCATCGACTAGTCTGAATGATCCAGTTGCATTTTTTATTACTGATGATTTGACATTATATATAGCTGATGGGGTAGGGAAACGTATTCAAAAATGGACAGTTAATGCAACGGAGGGTACTACAGTTATAGGAAACTTAACGTCTATCGGGGGAATAACAATGGATTGTAATGGATATCTTTATTATACTCAGGCATTATATAGTGTTTATCAGCTGAATATGCTGACAAATCAGAGTCAAATGATTGTTAGTGGGAAGAATTCGCGAATATATTATCTTCAACCAGGAGCGATTAAAATTGATAAATTCGGCAATCTTTTTTTTATAGTAGAAAATCAAATACATAAATTTTCTATTATAAAAAAGAAAAATATTTGAAATATTTTGAATAAATATATATATATCTCCATTTTCATAAATAAAAGAATTGTTCATAATCTATTTCGAGTATTGTACAAAGCGACCAATGTTTGAGAGTTTTTCATCGATACTTTTAGCTTGTATCTGCCAGTCCACATCAGTGTTTTCAATAGGAATCTGGAGTAAAATACCTTTCGGCACGTCGAATGTGTAGCCAAAGTACCATTTGGCACTTTGCTTTGAGTAGGAAAGTGCCATACCGTGCCAAAGGTAAAAAGAACATGTCAAGAAAATACAGACAAAGTTTTTGCTATTCATATATTTTCATGAAGAATTATTTCGATAGAAAAAATAATGTAAACGAAGTAAAACATACCAACAACAATCATAATAAATACAGCAGTTTGCAAGAAAACTTGGAAAATTTTTTTTTCAAGGCAGCTATTTTTCTACTGTTACAAATGAATATAAAACTGATTTTTCCAGGAATGAATCCTTGAGACATACTACATGTTCTATATATAAAATTGTCATTTGTTTCCCCTTTCGTATTTTTACAAGTCAATCAAAAGAATATGAAATTATGGGACGCAATCACTTGACCGACAATCACTTAGCCGACATATCACTTAGCCGACGCCACTTAGCCGAAAGATTGTTTAGCCGAAAGGTACTCTTAGCCGACACGTTTTTTTTGCCGACAGATATAATTGGAAGTGAAAAAAAATTGACATTTGCCGAGAGCACACCCACCCTCAAATTTTTTAAATTTTAACTGTGTTATAGTACGGTTCAATGTTATATTCTTTTTCTTTCTTCTCATATTATATTATATCAT